AGAATACATATTCTTTCCTAAGTTATGTGCTAAATTTGGTATCGGTTGACCCTTTTGCAACTAAGTAATTTTCACTGAGCTCTCATGTGTAACAATAATATCAATTAGAAACAATAATAAAGATAATGATGTTATCAGCAAGGCATTAATAATTAGTAATATTTAAGCAAACATGTTATCGGTCTTTCTTATTGCAACTTCTCTCTTTGTTTTCTTAAAATCTATTTGTATGGCTTTTGACAGGTCTGTATCTTCTTTGTGAGCATCTGAAAATAAAGCAAATATATTGGTTTAAGAATGTAAGAAGCACATAGCAAGTATGCGTGGGTAGATGGAGTTGCTGGTCTTCACCTTGATTTCTTCATCTTAGCATTGAAAGAGCTATCATTAAACTCAACAGTACTTCCTCAAGCCATCAATATATATTACTCTAAAGATGATAGAGAGATTTATGAAATGGTTACTTACTGTACAAACATTTACAAAAATGTAACTTTGCGATTTTAAAACTATTTTTTGATAACAAGTGTTTATTGGGCCAGATGATCATTGTGTATCATATATCTGTTTGATGTGGGTACTTTTTATCAATTTACAAATGAAATATTTCAAATGATATGATTAATCTTGACACCTTCTTACTTTCAAATTGTCAAATTTCTGTGAAGAATGTATCGGAATACTTGCAATGCTACTTTACTTGAGGTACACTTTATACTTCAAAAAGAAATTATTTTTTGCAAATAAATTATAATATAAAATATTTGTTAATTTTCTATCAATATTTGCAGGGAAGATGTGCATATCAGGAATATTAATTAATGTAGTTACAGATTAATTTACTTGATAATCATCTACTTTACTTTTATAATATTTTACCATGTTGTAGCTGTTATGAAGTTTTTTTTGGGGATAAGTACAAATAATTATTAAAAAATTTACTTGTTTGATTGTCATCTATTGAGTTACTCTGAGATCTAAGTGAATGTTTTGTGGTTTTTACTGTTTTAATTTGCATATTGATTTCACTATAATTTCCTGTTCATGCTACAATCTTTATGATGTTTGGATGAGGCTTAATGCACTTGTAATGTAAACAAGGCAGATCATGAAATGAGTGTTAGGTATCAAGTGGCAGTTCCTTAGGTACATGTATCTCGTTTCTTGTTATTGCTTTCAATATCTTGAACGTAATTCATTACATATTGTTATTCTATTCTACTCGATATTTGTTCTTTTGTTACAATGTATGACCTATTTTTTGGAATTAATGCTCTTTTTGTTATTAGCGTATTTTATTGGTAGTTTGGGTGATCTAATATGTATATGTTATAGTATTTATAAGACCATCAACGCATATTTAAATAGTCGCTACACATCGCGAGTGCCAAAGGCTAGTAATAATATAAAAAGTTATGACAATGATTTCCACAAAATATGTGAATAATAACAATAACATTAATGAATATGTTATTAAAATTAATGTTTACTGAATTTATAAATCGTATCCAAACAAAGGCTAAGTTATTAACAACATAAATCAGTGAATCTCAAACAAAAATTTAAGGTATTAGCTGCATACATTAGTGAATAATGGGTTTGATTAATAAATTAATGAGTTGATAAGTTATAGTTGTACTTTTAAATGGGAAACTTAAAGGATTAAAATCAAAGCTTGAACAAAGGGAGATAAATCATTCATTATGCTTTGGCGATAAAATGGACGATATTATTAAAAACGTAATTAAATACAATGTATTAAAAAAATTGACTTGAGCTAATTATTTAACCTTGGTCTGGTTAAGCCTTCAGCCATAAAAGTGGATTAACATTTAAGTCAAAGTCAACAATTAATTATGATCACACATTTTATGATATCCACAATTTTTCAACTACATATTCCATCAACTTTATCAAAATTTATTAAAAATGTAATTTTTATCTAAATGAAATAGGGACTTATGACTAACTAATTGTGGGACATATTCAAAGCGAACCTTGAGGCTTGGTGCAATGCATTTCGAGCGCATATGTCAAATGTTGCATTTGGTCATTTTCTTATGGGTCGTTTGAGCTCATTTTTTCTAGAAAAACACATTTTGAAATAGTGTTATGACGGAAAATGTGTGGTTAAAAAATAAGAAAAAAATTTAAATCTGCGTGTAATATTATTTTATTGAAAATTTTGTAGTTAAAATAATGTTAAATCACTTTTAAATAATATATTTTGATGAAAAAATGGGGCTCAAAAATAGACTTATTCCAGACGTGATGTAAATATTTGATGATCGAATGTGATAACAAAATATGAGCAATCAAATAAAGACAAAATGATGCAGACTTTACTACTTTAGTATGTGGTTTCAACTTTCAAATGTCTAATCTTAGCTAACTTTATTCAATTACTATCAACTATCAAATTGATCTGTTATAAAGAAAAACTTGTTCAAATTTTAAAGAGAAACGTGATAAGATTGTTCTCTGTCGATAAAATTGACGTGCATGTTAATGTGAACTCGACTTGTCATTTAAATTTGTCTTGAGCACTATTCAACTATGATTACTCAACAAATTATCCTTATTATTTATGAAATGATGTGTTTAAATTTTATCGATGACAACATGACTTGAATAATCGAAAAAGAAAAACGCGTTTTTATAGACATTGATGATTGAACTGTCAATTTGACTCCCGTTTAGCCGCCATTAATTTGAATTATAATGATAGTAATAGTGTTTTTATTTTTATTTATTTATTTATTTATTTTTTTGAAAAATGAGTGGTTGTAAAAGAATGAAAAATTTTCAATTTACGTGTAATATTATTTTATTGAAAATTGTGTGGTTGAAAATGAGAGAGAGAAAAATTTAATTTAAATTAATGAGATTTAAATGGGCCAAACGGAGGCTGAATTAATGGGATATTTTAATCTTGATATTATAGTAAATTTATGATATCGGTCACCTAAATTTGTTGAGTTACATTCAGTAATTTAATTAATTTGACATATTTTTTAATGTGAAATTGATTTTTTAGCACTTGTTTGATCCTCATTATTTCTAAAATATCTCTCTTTCTCTCTCTTTTATTTTAAACCACACATTTTTTAATCAAATAATATTACACGTAAATTCAAAATATTTCCTTATTTTTTAAGCATTCATTCTCCATCAAATTACTATCTAAAATGCATTGGTGAAGAATAATGAGGCTCAAACAGGGAAGGAATGTGATGTTGTCAAGTATGAATTATCAATCAAAATTGTCAAATTAAATTGTACACAAAACGTAATTCTTTTGTTTCAATTATGCTATTTGTACAATAATGTTTGACAATATTGATGTCGTCAAAATTCGGGCCATTAATTTTTAAAATAATTTTTAAAATGGAGGAATATGATATTGTCGAATATGAATTATCAATCAAAATTGTCAAATTAAATTGTACTCGTAGCGTAATTCATTTCGTTCACCTACCCTGCTTACATTTGCTCGGCCGACTTCAAGTCCATTGCGGCCACGACGATGAGTGGATGTGGCCATACGTAATAAAAAGCCCAAAGCCCGGTTTAAACAATATGACAAAATCATGAGTTGGCACAACAGAAGCCACTCAACTATATAATAATAATAATAATAATAATAATAATAATAATTATTATTATTATTATTATTATTATTATTATTATTATTATTATTATTATTATTATTATTAATTTCAATCGTGACCTTTAAACTCTAGCCAATAACACTTCGCTTCTTGACATCCCATCATTCATGATTTTATTAGTTTTTATTTTTGTACAAAAAACTATTAGAAAATTAATAAATATTGGTATTTATTTTATGTAAAATAACTTCTTTTAATGTTCATGTCAAATTGGTTAATCAATTCTCTCATTGGTCTCATCATGATTAGATATAAAGATGGCATTAAATGATAAATTAATTTAAATATAGAGTCAAGTGATTAATTTAATTGGATATATTAAGTGTGACCCCTTGTGCAGATAGTATTATTCTTATTGTTTATGATATTAAGTCTCTGTTAGAGTCTCATTTTTGGGTCGAATAAATGAGACTCGAACTGCATTTTAGAATAAAATTTTGTTGGGGAATATATGGTTAAAAAATTAATAAAAATTTTGTGTTTGAGTGTAAAATTATTTTATAAGAGAATGTGTGGTTAAAAATGAGTTTTTGAAAAAAAAAATTAAGTTTAACATAGGCTAAGAATATTATTAGTTCTTGTTTCAATTAGATAATATTTCAGATTAGTCAACCAAGACAACTATTAAAAATAAAAATAAAATTTATTATCTTAAATTGATGGTAATGTGATTTACAAAGAAATGGACAAAATGAAAACAAGACCAAAAATAAAGGTGTGTTTGATACACCCAAACTTTTCCTGAAAAATGGAAAATCAATTCCAATTTCATGTTTTTGTTTGTTTGATGGCTCTATTTTTCCATGGAATTTATTTTCTAGCTTTTCACTCTACCTAAGATTTTTCTTGCTTTTCAAGGAATTAATTCTAGGTTACAATTTTTTTGGATTTTTTTTTCTTTTTTAAGCAATGGAAACAATTCTAATAATTACTGTAAGAAATATTTTCTTTTAACTGACAATTTTCATGTAAAATAAAGCCAAACAAATACCAAAAAATGATTTTCTTGAATTTTTTTTGTTGATAATGGAAACAAATTTCATCCCCAATATCAGTAAATTCTATCCCTTTAATCGACAATTTTCGTGTAAAATAAAACCAAACGAACATCAAAAAACACTTTTATTTTAACATTTCTCACGTGAAAAATTATACGAATCAAGCACAATTTACAATTTTCAGGAAAATAATTTCTAGATAACTCAATTTCTTAAAATTCGTTTTCTTTCCACTTAAATTTCATCTTTGTAATCAAACGGATACTAATAGTTACATAACAAGTTGATGTGGCAAGAATGAATCCAAGGGTTTGAAGGCGAGATTGGAAAACAATTGCGCTACACAAACGGACACGGGGATTCCCCTGCAAATCTACGAAGACCCCACACCATTCTCGCCCCCCACCACGAATCTGCCAGTCCCATTTCATTTTCCTTTGTATTGTACACTGCTACAATTTTGAATTTCACACCCACACAAAATCAAGAAGTAGCAGAGTGAAAGTTCTAGACAGAATCAAGAATTTCGATAGACAACCCACGATCCATTAACCCATTTGCTGCTTGAACTAAGAATCATGCCATCAGGTGCTAAGAAGCGTAAAGCGACCAAGAAAAAGAAGGAAAACGAATCATCTTCCAACTCCAATCAACCTGTTTCTACTGTTGACTCTCATGGTATGTCTCTATGCCCCACCCTTCGGAATATATAAGTATTTGAGATGGAAAAGAACCGTTTTTGAGTTTACTTTAATCGCTTTAGAACCATGTGCTTCTCAATAATTCTCTTATCTGGTTGAACTTTACAGTTGTTTTCTTTATTTTGAAATGTGGGTACCCCTATTCTGGTTGCTTTAATTGATTTTGTGCCATTTCCATCTATATCTATGTTTACTCTCTCAGATTAGTATATATCTTTATTTTGAAGCGTCTTTATATGGTAATTGAAAATGGTTTTAGAGATTTGGTGTGAATTTAGATTTTTTATCAGTGTTTTTTGGAGAAGGGCACTTATAGTCTGTATAGAGATATAGTGGTGGGTTTTTTCTTAATGGTTACTGAATTTTTTTGATTGATCTTTTTTGGATGAGATTGCTTTCTGGATAATTTTTAGTTTGTGTTACGTCTCTTGATTTTGCATCAAACTTTTCTGTACCAATCAAACTATGGTAGGAGATGATGATTTGAAGCACCAAGATAATAAAGAGACGGACGTTGGAGAGCTCAGCTCTCCTGTGTCTCAGGACCACCGTAGCCACCAGCAACATTTTGCGGAGGAGGAGGAAGAAGTGGATAAGAGAGAGGACTCTTCAAATTTTGTGTTCATTGAAGGAGTGAAAAATGAGGGTGTCGAAGAGCAAAAAATGGTGGCAGAAGAAGGGAGTGTTGTTCAGGTTGAAAAGGAATTGAAGAATAAGGGCGAATACCAAAAGAAAGACATTGTGGTTGGGTATGATGAGCTCCCGGAGAAATCTTATGATGGAGGTGTGTCAGGAAGCTCTAGTAGTAGCAGTGGCAGCAGTTCTGATGATGAATCACGTGGTCTTGACATGGATAAAGCTACCGTATTTGATGCTTCAGTTGATTTAGCTGAGGCAGCGGACTCTTTGTCTGAGAGGCCGGCTCAAGCTATTCATGTTGCTTTGGAGGAGGAGGCTGGTGATTCAATTGTGCAAACTTGCACTGTTATTGGTTCAGAGAAAGTTTCACTGTTGAACGAGGAGGTGGAAGTAAATACGAGTGCTTCACTTGATATTTCGGAGGCTTCTCATATCTCAGAATCAGAATTGAAGGAAAATTTGGAAAATTTGAAGTCTGTTGAAGAGAATGTTGTCTTTTCTGCTGCTAGTATGGATGCGGCACCTGTCAGGGAGGCGGTGGAAGCAGCTGTTCAATCAGCTGAAAATGCTGCTGAAACTTCAGATGCCAAGGAGTGCACAATACAGGAGACTGATGACAAATTGACTTTGTCATGCAGTGTACCTAGAGTTAATGATAATAATGGAGCAGAACATGAGAAAGATTCTGAATTATCTAAGGTAGGTGACCTCATTCTTCTTTTACTTGATTATTTTACTCACACAGTTAAATCAAATGAGAAAGCTTAATGCATTACTAATTAATCTTAACCTTTTCTTTTTCTTTTTTTAAACGTTTGCAGCCAGTGGTAGCTCCTACTCTGCATCCAGTGCAAACTACTTCCTGGAAGAGTTGTTGTGGACTGTTTGATTTGCTGACAGGGTCTGGTAGATAATTCAAGGTTAGTGTTGCCCCCAAGCTTCAAAATTTCTTTATCATCTTTCATTCTTGAAAATTTGCTAAACGTAAGATATTGGTTTAGTTTATGTTTTTAAAGTTTTCCTTTTTTTTGGAAAATTACGCACGCACGCGCGTATGCATTTTAGGCTTTTTTTGATGCTGAAGATAGTTAGTTAGGGGGGATTGGATTAGAATTTTTGAGCTGCTTAGTTTGATTTGAGGGTCTGTTGTGGAGAAATTGAGTGTGACAAAAATGAGTTTTGAGTGCGGCTGAGGAAGGTTCAGCTTGGGAAATTCATCTTCCAGCTGATATATAGATTGGGAGATGTTGGATAAGTCAAGTTTTTCTTCCTCATGGCAGTGCTATTTTCGGGGGTTCCGGCAAACTTTATCCGATAGCGGTGTGGAAAACGCACCAGAAAGTGGTGTTGAATGAGATTTAATCTCTCAAAACGGGGAGCTTCATTTTAAAATTCGAGGGATTTAGAGGATTTCACAGTGGATTCAGGACTTCCTCGTGGGATTGATTCCTACTCAAAAACAAAGATGAGTAGCATTTTCATTGATCTTATATCCCCGTATTTTTACATATATTTGGTTTGGTTTTCAGGTCTATAAGCATTCAAAGTTTTGGAATAATTTGATTTTCATATTTGAGTACATATGAATATCGCAAACAATTAATCAAAACCCTTTTTGTGTTACCATGGGGTATATACAGTATTTAACATGCAAGTTGAACTTGTTTTATTGTAGCTAAGTAAACCCAACGGCTCTTAATGCTACATATGGATTAACAATGAATGAAGCATATTTGGGTATAGATAGGTAAATGCACAGCATGAAGTGGTTAAGGTCTACTTGGTAAAATGTTTTTATTTATTATAATAACTATGAAATTTTTTATTATATGCAACTCGTGTGCTAGTAAAGTTCTATAACTTTTCTTTGTCCTAAAATCTCAGCATTCTAATGATTCTTTATAACATAAAAAGTAACATGTTAAAAAAAATTACTTTACAAGAACACAAACAATCAAAGAACCTCTGTTTCTAAAACGTACTATTCTAAAAATTGTGTAGTTTCCAGTAAACAATTTTGCACAATATTATAAATTGGATGTTCAGATTGAATCTTTTCTAAGTCAGTCTGAGTGCTTTGCTGGAGGGAAAATCTTTGAGAGTTATAAACTACTATAGAAGGTTGTATCAACTAAGTTCACTTGTGGTTGATAAATTTTTAGTGAAATGTCATGCTAGTCACTGAACTTCATTTAGATTCAAGCTGTTCGACAAGTAATTTCATTATCTTCTGTTTTCCGTACTCTCCGTGGTGGTCCCTGCTTCTGCCGGCATTCCCAACGAATAGGGGCTAGGAACATGGTCTCTTCCCTGAAACTTCCCCGTCTCCTTTTTTAGTTTTTTATTTCTTCTTTTAAGCCGTGTCTGCTTTTATATTTAAGTAGCATTTTAAAGATGAAAATAATTGACGTTGCATGGTATTGGGATTTTTCCCCTTGCCTCTCCTCCGGTCACTCCATTGACATCCCACTTTTCTATTCAGTTTTAAAACAAGTATGTTTACTTAAGCTCAATGACCAACTTGAATTTCACTAACATGGCAACATCTACTTTGTTGCTTTCATACATGGCATTGTTGAAGAGGTCAATCTTCATTCATTTCTGTACATCTCGTGCATCTCTTCAGTCTCTAAAAGCGAAGACCAGATTTCTTGTCTGAATTTCTTCTTAAATTCTGATATCTTCCTATTGATGCAGATTCAGAGCAATCGGCACATTGAAGCTGGGAAGGATTTTCATTTAAGAAGTTTGCAATCAATTCTTCTTTTATAATCAATGGTGAATAATAATGGAGTAGATCTGACGACAGAAACAAAGAGAGTTTTTCGTTAGTATTATCCTGAAAGCAGCTTTTGACGAGTTTCTCTGTCCTTTCTTTCTCATTGTTTTTGCAGCCCATAGACTTTCTTTATTGTTGTGTGTGGTGTAACTGTTTTCGTAATGATTTAGGAAGCAGTGGCGTTTGAGATTTACAACGTATAATCTTAAAATTATTACAGTTTAGTTTATTGATATATTCCTTGCTAGTGATGTACGAATAATCAGATTGATGTCTTGTGTTGTGTGACTCGACTGCAATATCATTCTTGCTGGTTAGGATAACTGTCGTGTTGTGGTTTAATGCTCTAGTTGAGATTAAAAAATGAAGAAAAAAGAAAAAGGAAAATGAGTTTATTTGGTCACAGTATGTGTAGGGTGGTTAAGTAGCTTCACTCGCGCCACTTGCGAGCCGAGCAGTAAATCACTTGAGCGATCCACTTGTTGGCCGAGTTGGCTCACAAGCGAGGTGAGCCAGTTCGCTCGTGAGCTCCCCGAATTGCATGCGAGCCAGCTCCTTTCAGGCTCATGAGCCACCTGCAAAGGGCAATTTTCGACTTAGGTAAAAAAATTAGGCAGGCTGCTGGTAGTTCGTCCCACCAAAGGGCAAGCTTGAGGCGAATTGCTCGCTCTCGACAAATCCCTATTAACATCCTCAAGTATGCACAACCTCAAATGAAAATTTTTGTGATTTTAAGTTGTGTTTTTAACTGTGGCATTAAAGTTATGGTTTGATATTTTCACTGTGGGTGTATTTTAATAGTGACTCGAGTTTCATGTGACAATAATTCGCTGTCCTCTTTTACTCTTCTTAGTTCATTTGTCTTGTTGTCTATACTCAAGCCAATGATCAACTACTCCAGGCCCAGTTTTCTCACGCTTTTGCTGACAGTGGAAGTGTGGGGGTTCGATTCCTGAAACATGGAATTGGACTTCTTGTAGGCGCAGTGTACAAGTAGGTCTTGTTCCCTGACCTATTGAAGCACATTCCACCATTTACCTCCCTCACAAAACTCTAGAGGCGGAGCGGTGGGAGTCCTCAAGTTGAGGTTCAATCTTTTTTTCTTTTTTTAACTACTCCAGGCCCAGTTCTTTTGCACGCCAAATCTGAATTCCAACTCACAGCTGTCAAGTGAAAGTTTGAATTTTGTCCAATGTCAAAAAGAATTCAGAGTTGATAGGACAACAGACAATGGAATCATGTCGACTTGAATGAATAGCATTACTCAAATGAGCAATTTTTTACTGGAAAACCTTTTCACGCTTCTATGTTCTTTACGCTCATTGCGGCTTTGCTTGTTATTTAACAAGTTCCAAATCTCTGTCTTCACCAATCAATCATCAATAAATACCCGTGAAACTAATGAACTTTCTTTAGATACCATAAATTGCAATAACATTCAAATGTATGGAGAAGTACATGTAATCTATAATATATTAAAATATTATATCAAAAGAAAATCATTTTTTTTGGGACAATTTTAACCTTCGTACAATTCAATTATTTCAATAATATCTTACTTTTTATTTTTCAATATGTAATAAATACTACATAATTAGTGTCATTTATGAAATTTGTGTTATTAATTTTCAATTAATTAACATTTACATTAACTTAGATTCAATGAATTTTCACTTGATTAATTTTGAATTACATGAATCTAGAGTTATTATAGATAAATTTATTTATATTCATGTATTTAAAAATTTTAATGAGTGTTTAAATTTGTGTATTAACAATTAATTTTTATGAATTAAATGTAATAAAAAAGATTACTCATTTATAGTATTTCATCCTTACAAAAAATTTGAATTATAAAAATTGAGTTTTGAGAGTACAATTTTATTCTCTCAAATTTCTATACTAAATTTTATTTTCTTTAATTTGTTCGAAACTCATCAAATCCTCCAACAAATTGATACCAAATATTATTTTTACATTACTTATTAGAGATGGCAATTTACCCTATCACGCACCGAATGGAGCAAAAAAACTAGCCCCGATGGGTTGATGAGGTGGGGCGGGACAACCTTACCTCGAACCCGTCCCGTGAATATATTTTTTTTCAAGTGTTTCTTGAATATTAATGTTAATTTGAGCATTATTTGTTTTGAATTTTCAAATTTTGAATTTGTATGTTATAATTTAATAGTATAACTTGAAATTTTGAAAATGTGTAATAATAATAATAATAATAATAATAATAATAATAATAATATAAAATGGTACAATAAACAGGGCAAAAAATTGCCCCGAACCCCCTGCCCTGTTTAAGGCGAGGCGAGACCCGTTGCCATCACTATCACTTATAAATTTTTTTAGAATAACATGCAATGCAATTTTAAGTTTGACTAGTATTAGGGCTGTAAGCAAAAATCGACAAACCGAAAAATCGAATCGAAATTGCATTTTAGAAATCGTCGATTTGGTGTCACATGGACCCGATCAATGAAATGGTTTTGAACCAAACCAAATCGGTCAAAATGGTTTAGTTTATGTTTGAGAATTTTAATTACAGTTTAAAATTAAACCGAACCGACGAAAAAATATGTAAAATAAAAAAAATAAAAAAATGAAATTTTTTGAAAAATCATCCAAATATGTAAAATTCAATAGTTTTGTCATTTGTGTGTATTTTTGTCAATTTCTAATTTTCTAATACATATATATTATTATTATCCAATAATCCTAATTTACATATAATAATCTCAAGACTAACATAATATATCAAAAACTATATTCCTCTTTAAAATTTAGATGAACTCCAGTCGACACCCAATACAATCTTGAGCCAACGGCACCCCACATTTCTTTTTCAGATTTTTCACACCTCTTCAAAGTTGAATTGAAGTCCATTATACCAAATCGGAGAGAAAGAGATCCTAGACCTTTGGGTGATAATATTTATTACAAATAAAGATTCAGATCAATAATTTTTTTGGAGCAAACTAAGGTAAGAATCCGAAATTAAATGCATTTCGTAACATCATACAAATGTAAACTTGTGTAGTTGTAGATATTATAAATAATTGTTTTATTATTGTGGTTGGTTATTCTCTTTGTCTAATCAGTATCATTTTTTTTCCAAATATGATGATTATGAGGTATTGTTAGACATCATTATGTTTTTTGGGCTTTATATCTATTTTAAGAGACTTGTATTGTAACTTTATGCATCGTCATTAACCTAAAAAAGGTGAACAGAAATGAAAAAAAAAACTATATTTTAGTGTATTGTGATTTCACTTTGATTTAGTTGGTATTTAAATTTTTAGTATATATATTTAGCCCCTATTTGAGCTATATCATCAAAATGAAAAAATTGACCGTTGGAGAGGAGGCTATGTCCCACACATGAAACAGTAGATCAACAAATGCGGCTGGACTTGTGGGATAACGGTCCAAATTTTCAATTTTTCTGTCTCAAAAATTTGGTTCAAATAGGGATTTAGTTTGTTTTATATTTATTGCTAGTAAGATATAGATATATATTGAATTCAATGAATTAATGACATAAAAATAGACAAGCAAAAAAATATATGACGATACTAGCGGTTTAAAATCGGACCAAACCGTTAGATTTAAGTTTGAGTTTTTTTCAAACCGTTCAAAATGATTTGGTTTAGGTTTGAATTTTTCTCAAACCAATTTAAATGGTTTGATTTGAAAATATGTCAAAAATAGGTAAAATCGAACCGTTTACAACCCTATATTGTATCACCAAATATCACCAATCTCTTGGTCCGAGGACGTTGGTGGACTTATTTAATGGACCAAATATCACTAATATAATGTCCATTAAAACTTCATAACCTGTCGCATCGTGTTGGGAGTTTTCCAAAACATGAATCTGACAAATTGAAATACAATTAAGGTTGGGTATATTCCAATTCGATTCAAACGAGAATCGAATCGAACCCAAATTTTTTTCATATTTAGCCTTGTTTGAGTCTCATTTTTCATTAAAATACATTATTCAATAGTAATTTAACTTCATTTCAACCATATTTTTCAATAAAATAATATTACATACAAATTCAAAATTTTTCCTTTTTTTTAATCACATTTTCTATCATAACACTAATTCAAAATACATTTTTTT